ACTAAAATATCGCATATATATCTTCTACCTTTATATTTTCCTATATATAAATTTTTGTGTTTAACTATATCTTTCAATTTGCTTATGTGATATATACCGTCAGGAAAAATTATAAGTGCATACATTGTTATTCACTTATTGCATCAAACAATATTGTATCAATGACTAAATGTAACTAAACGTTCAAATGTTTCAGAAACATTGGGCGCGTTCAGCGGAAAAAGCGCTCAGTGAGCTCTCGCATCTGATTGGCATATTCTTTTAGATCTCTGAAATATACTCCAATCAAATGCGAGAGCTCACTAAGCGCTAACTGATCACTTGTTCCGTTGAACGCGGCCATTAATACTTCATGCACACAGGACGCAGTAATGCTTGCCGCACGATGGAAGTTCTTGCGATAGCCAATCAATGCGCCGCTTTCCATAAGAGCTAGAAAATTCTTACGGAAAAACGGCATGTTGATTGGCTATCGTGAGAACTTCCGCCACGCGACATGTATTGCCGCGTCCTGTGTGTATGAGGGATGAGTGATAACCGATTACGTTGTGTACGGTCAAGCACAGAGATATATCGTCTAAAGCGAATGCATTCTTTATCGTAACTCAAATCGTCTTTTTAAACGTATAAACCTAAAGCAATAATTTGATTGGCTGTTCAGTTTAAATTTCCTTTCTATGTTTATGATTAAGTTAATTCGTGTGCTCTGGCCCTTTGTATATCTTTTTTTATGTGCATTCGTCATTCCTCGACACTCGGTCTCTGTATCCAAATGAAAGACGTAAGAGAATTATTTTGCTTCGCGTTATGTTTATTTGAGAGCATTATTTCATATGGAATCTTATGCGCATGCGTCAATCTGTGACACGAGCAAGATAACTTATGCCCGTATTCATAGACAGGCCTTATATTTAAGGCTTCCTTAAATTCATCTTCAGATGCTCTACGAATTATTTTATTGGCTACAGAGGATCTGAAGATGAACTTAAGGAATAAGGCTTGACTATGAATACGGGCATTAGGTTTGTCGTGTTGCATGTCTCAACGTGCTCCTACTCGCTCCAACTTACTCTGATTGGTCACGTTACCACGCGGACCAATCAGAGTGCGTTGGAACGAGTAGGAGCATGCGACGCGAACAAACTTCTTATCGCTCTGGCACAAATACTGATCTCTATAATATACTGGAATGTTAAGTGCCCTCTGAAAAAAGTTGTAAAGTAAAATGAATTTGACAAATATGTTATGAAACTTGTACTACGCATACATTGAAATATCATTTAACTATTCATACAATTATAAAAAGATTGACCATTCAATTGCTGAGATATTTGCAGTTAAAGTTCGTACGGTAGCCAATGAATTTCTAGATACACAAAAACGGTATGATGATTAGATACCGCACGAATTTCCGCCGCGCGGCAAACGTTCCCAAATCCTGTGTGCAAGAGCTTATGGCGGTCCGCCAACTCCCTGTTGTACGTTCGTTTGTGCGCGGAATGCAGCAGCCGACACCTCGCGTCGGGAGACGGAAGCAGGTGCTGCAGCCGCGGTAACTTTTCTCGGCCGCGCCGCGAGAACTCGCGCGTGCCGGTTTCTAGTAGTGTGTGCCCACGGGCGCTCTACAGCAGAACCGTTTTCTCGCTCGTAAAGCATGCAAGTCAGAGTTCGTCCGTTCGTGCGTTCCGTTCGTCTCGTTCTCCGTCTCGTAATCTCTCACATTACGTTCGTTGTGATATTGTGTTCGGAGGCGGTAAGCACGTCCGAGTGTTCCGTGCTGGGCTCAGCCAGCGAGGCTTAGAGGCCCTTAAGGGCCGCCGATCCGAAGCCGCCCGTTCCGGTGTGTACGTGTCGCACACGTGCTGCGCACGTGATCGTCCGCGTTCCTACACACGATCCGCAGTACCCGGTTATCTTCGTGCAGCCGCGCACCGCGCATTCGCGGAGACGAGCCTGCATCGTGATTCCGACATCGTCGTCAGCAAGTCGGCACGCTCGCGCTGCATCGCGCGACGGCTGGCCAAGCGCGGTCACCGTCCATTGTCTCGCGCGTGAGGCGCCTTTGTTCCGCGAGTGTGCACAAGCATCGCGAGTGAATATCGCAGCTCGGGGAGCATCGCGCCGCCCGCGAGTCCGGTCGCCGCGTGCAGCGGAGGCAGGTGCACATTTTCTCTATTAGGTTTGAGTTTTGGCTATCTGCCGGCCACGTGCGCCGGTCATGCTACCTGCCCTCGCTTACGTGCGCGTTTCCGCCGTTGTTCACGTGATCGGCTGAGGGCCGACATCTCAGCCAATCACGAGAGTGTCTTCACGCTTCGTCCTTCACACGTCAGCGTGTCTCTGTTTTGTTTCTCGCGAGCGTTTCTTTTGTATGTGATAAGATTCTTTGTTCGTTATTATCTTTGTAATAAAATCTGACGGCGTGTTATTGTTAATACAGAAAAGTGAATCTAGCGTATTATCAAGGCCTGAGCTCCTTCCCGTCCACAGTGTTTTCCCGAGTTAACATAAATTTATTTTTGTGGCATGCGGGTGTGATAACCACACACCGCCTTGATCGGTAGCAAATAGAGCTATCTATATCGATCTATAAAAGCCCTCAAACTGGTGACCCCGACGTGATCAGGACCCTGTGTCGGGTGCGAGTGACTGCCGTAAGGTTTATTCCTTCTTTTTACTACTATTGCCAGACGACTTGCCGCGTGTTCGCGTGTCGTGTGATTCCGCCTGTTCGTTTCCGCGGGCTCCGTGAGTGACGGTGCGCGAGTGAAGGTGATGTTGCATTCCCCTGCGCGGTCCGCGAGTGATAGCGCACCTTCAATGTCGCGTGTTAGCGTGCCGTCCGCGGATCTCTCCCTTCGTCAGGAAGACGACGGACATGAGACTGTGACCGAACGCGAGGCCGCGGCAATCGAGGCGGTCAGCTCATGCCGGTTGCCGCCTTTCTGGAGAGCCAAGCCGGACTTCTGGTTCGTGCAGGCTGAGGCTGCACTGCAGGTTGGCCGTGTCCGCGGGGACGAGACACGTTACAACCTTGTCCTCAGTATACTGGACCCGGACACTGTCAGACATCGAGGACATCATTCGTTCGCCTCCTGAGGTCGAGAAATACCATACGTTGAAGAGCGCCATTCTGACGCGCCTTACGGATTCAGCCGACAGACAGCTGCTCAAACTTTTTACTCAGCTGGAGCTGGGCGACAGGCGCCCGTCGCAACTTTTACGCCATATGCGTGGCCTCTCAGCCAACCGAGTTCCAGACGACGTTCTCAGAGTCAAATGGCTGGACTTATTGCCGGTGAGTGCTCAGCGCCTCCTTCGCATTCTCAAGACTCCCAGCTTGGAGGAGCTGGCGACCATGTCCGATGAGATCGTCGAGGCATCACCTGGCGTCGCAGCTGCCTCACTCTCCTCGTCTGAGCCGGAGAGTGCTTCCTCGGCTGTGGGCGTCTCGCGGCCCCCGAGTCGGTCGGGCAGCGAGGACCAGTTCGACAGACTGACCGCGGAACTCGCTTCCATGCGAGTCTCCCTAGCGCAGGTCGTGGGACTCAACCGTGAGATCCTTTCTCGGGTCGAGGGTCTGGACTCGGAGCCACGACCTCCGGACATTATCGCGCGACGGTTCGGTGAAGTGCCGTCTCGCCGCCCGCGTTCGCGATCGCGTGTGCCCCCGGCAAGGCCTGCGGGCAGTGTATGTGAGTATCATAGGCGCTGGGGCGCGCAGGCAATCCGCTACCGCCCCCCTGCTCATTCCTCAAGGCCCGGGGAAACTAACGGCGCCGGCTCAGGTGCAGGCTTCTGAGTCCGGCGACCGGTTCCTGAAGGAGAATCGCCTGCACGTGTTTGATCGAGTCACCAACCTGAAGTTTCTGGTAGACTCAGGTTCAGTGGTCTCTCTGCTGCCGAGGTCTGCTGTGAAGGAGAGGATTAAAAAACAGGAACTAACACTTCAGACAGCAAACGCCTCTGCTATCGCCACCTACGGCCGACGTACGCTAACATTGAACCTCGCCTTGCGAAGGCCGTTCAAGTGGACTTTCATTGTGGCCGATGTCCGCACGGCCAGTGTGCACAGTTTTACTCCGCTTACAGCATGACGTAGGCCACGCACACAGCGAGCGACCGAGTCCGTGAGCGGCGGCTCGACAGCGGCGCGCAGGAGGGGATACGCGTATACGGCTGCTTGCCGTGTACGCGCTTCGACCGAGCTATAATATATGTCGGTCGCGTACACTATAGCTATCGTTCGGGGAAGAAAGAGGCAGCAGATGCATGCTCGGAAAAGAGAGAGCAGACGGCCGGCGTGAAACTTATGCTTATGCTGTTTGTCGTTTCTCGCCGTGCGCGCACTTCCTTCTCGCACCTATTAATTATACAAATATTTAAATTACATACAAATGTATTAAATATTAAACATCAAAATATTAGGAATAATAAAAAAAATGAAGAATAGAAAGAGAGCGTTAATGATAGATAAAGAATAAAAATCCACTTTTGGCCAATATGTACACCTTTTTCTCCTTTATTATTTTAGAAAAATGGCTATTGTTAATGCAAGAAATATAGAATTAAAAATATATTTCAGTATTATTTATTTTGTATATAGTATTCTGTTAATATACTTTTTATTTTGCTATTTGCTATTTGCAAATACATATAATTAAATGAAACGAATGAAATATTTTTAATAGTTCTATTGTATTTAAGTTTTATAAATGGACTACGTACATATTGTTGCTCAACGGAAACCGCGAGAAGGTAGTGGTCTCTTCCGTCAAAAAAATGTCAAACATTCGTTTTGCTTAATATTACAATAATTTTTATATGTATCTATTTCTTTTTATAGTACAATATGTTGAAATAAATAATTCGACATATTGTAGTATGAAAAGAAATATCAATATCAAAATTAATATAATATTAAGGAAAACGATGTTTTGTATTTCCACAGAATATAGATAGAACAGGACAGATACAAAGAATAGTTACAAAGAACAGATAGAAAAGAAGGATAAATACATAGAATAGATAGGAAAAATAGAAAAGAAGATCGCAGACAGTATAAACTTCCAAATGACGCTTTGTAGACATCCATAAGATGTGCTTAAGATCAACACATCCTTTGAACGTCTTTTGGCCGTACTTTGCAGGTCTTACTGTCTGCGATAGAAACGATAGATAGAAATATATAAAGAATAAAATATAGAAAAAGGCACGCAATGCATAGAGAGTGTTATGATTATTTAAGTCACTTTACACAATTAATAATTGACGACAGAATTCGAAACAGCAAAAACATTTGAGAAATTAGAATACATGTATAAATAAATAAATAAATAAATATGTGTATATATACAAATTTTCTAATGTAATTATTTCTATATTACATTATAGCAAATATAAATAAATATCAATGTGTCGTGAATTATAGGCTGATATTTTAATATTTGAAGTGAAAAATAGCAGTATTTTCACTTACATTAGATTAGATTCACTTTATACAAAAGAAAAATTGCTCGAATCCGAGTGACTTCAGCGATCACACTATTTTTATAGTGAAATTGCACTCAAAGAAATTGTGAGAATGTAAAGTGACTTTTGCACTAGTAATACTGAAATATTTCTGATCGTTTCCATTTTTTACATTAATATGGGATTTGTTATTTTATCCTGATAATCCAATGTCATATGTGCAACTCGAATTATATAATCGTATAGTTGCTCTTT